CTACCTACTACCTACTACCTACTACCTACTACCTACTACTACTACTACCTACTACCTACTACTACTACTACTACTACTACGACTACGACTACGACTACGACTACTACTACGACTACTACTAGTACTACTAGTACTACTACGAAAAGTACGAGTTCTACTGCCACTGCTACTGCTACTGCTGCTCCCACTATTTGTGCAAGTGGAGCATGCAGAGGACGGGACGCGCACCACATGTTGTAGAACATTTTTATTGGTGTCCTATTGTTATGGTACAGCATCGCATACTGTCCTAGACGATGCTATTTGTCCACCTGGAGCACAATGGGGAGGGTGTGCGTTTTGGGCTCACAGCACTGTGCAGTTTAAGCAGGCATTCGGCTACCTGCTAGAAGCATAGAGCCCCAAACTCTTAAACTCAAAGAAAACTAGACTAGACACCAGAACGCCCTGCCCACTCACTGTCAACACGTCTCAGAAATCCAAGTCGGCAATTGCAAATTCCAATTTCACGTCTTAGAAATAGGTCGAAATCCGGCTCTGAGCGCTGGTCCCTGCGTGTCAGTGCGCTGCTATTGCGTTTTGCAAGGTGGCGGCTGTAAATCGGAATAGCATAGCTGTAGCAATGTGGTTTGTATGGTCTGTCTCTGCGCTCCTGTCATTTTGTTTTGAAAGCCAGCGGCTGTAAATGTCAATAGAATAGCTGCCGCAGGGTTGCTTTTTGACAGTTGTGGCGGGTTGCAAACTTCCATTAAAAAACCGCCTCAGATCCATCGCCATTTTGGCGCTTTGGGTTCGAGATCCGGTTCTGAGAGCTAACTGTGTGTTTGTGCGCTGTGGCTATTGTGCTTTGGTTACTGCGTCACGGTGGTGATGATGGTGACGTGACGATGTTGGTGGCGGCGATGCTGTCACGATGATCATTGCTGGCGGCGCAGATGAAGATGAAGATGAAGATGAATAATAATAATAATAAAACTATGATGATGATGACGACGGTGATGAACATTGTTGTTGTGACTGCAACCTGCGACCTATAGGCTCTTGTGCCCTCGCACGTCAACCTATAGGTTTTTCATTCTGGAAACTTCCTCCCCCCACTTGTTGGGGTACTACTTGTAAACAGATTTACCAGCGGAACATTGCTGCTCTCCTGGGTGATCACCAACTGATTCGCCACCTGGCTGCTGCCAAGGCCTCCCTGAATACCTTTGCCCCTGGCATGCCCGAAACAGTGAACATGCCCGACTTCACACCATTGCATTTGGCTGTATGGTTTAGAAGCTACGACCTCCAGGTGTTGAAGACGTTGTTGGAATTGCAAGCTGATCCTAACAGCTCCGCCTCTGAGTATGTGCCGCGCTGTGGATGCTGTGCAGTTGCTCATTGACCATCAAGCTGATGTGAACTGTCAGGGCAAATTTGTCTTACAACAAAAACCCATCCACGGAATGGCTGCATTTGGGGCTCCATGCGAAGTGCTTGCCAAGATGTTGGAGCTCAAAGCAGATGTGCTGGGGGGAAGAGGAGGACTTGCAAGTTTGTCGCCTTTGCACAACGTTGCATATTCAGGCTGCCGTGTTGTCAGCCAAATCTTTGTTGCCCCATCAATCACGCAGCAAAAGCTATTGAACATTGGACATGCCATGATAAAGAGGGATCATTTTGTTGCATGCTGTGGTTCTTTTTAGCCGGCCTAGCCGGCCAAGCCAACTGATTCTGTCCGTTTGCCATTGAAGTCTGGCATGATTTCTGCAGGTGACAGCGACAACGATCTGAACTCAGCGCAGCTTCTGTTGGAGAGCAGGGCAGACATCAACCAAATTCTGCAACCTGAGGGACTCATGAGGATCATTGAACTGTTCTATAGGGCCTATGGTCAATGTTGCAGGGGTCAGCCCAGTATATATACTTGCACGAACCATGATGGACCTGAGCGCCACACCTGTGGGCTGTTGTGCCCTTTATGACAACGAGCGCATGTTGGTCTTCTTGCTCCGTGCTGGTGCAGACAAAGAGATCAAGAACAACAGGGGAAAACGACCTGTTGACGTTGCTCGAACTGAGAGAATCCGATTGATCCTTGAAGATCCGAGTGCTCTGGCTCAGGCGATTTATTCGCTGGAACGCCATTCTAAGACGGTCAGCGAGACCTGCTGACATTTGTGGCCGTTTTCTGATTTGAGGGTTGGAGTTTTAACTTGTCTTACCATGTCTATCCAGGTCTCATTTGAGAATCAGTCGCGGCCGCAAGGCGCCATAGTTGCAAAGAGTGGCTGCCAGTTTCTTCGGGCGATTGCCAACTCCATGGGTTTTAAACATGGCTGGCATGCAGAAGACCCGATTGTCAGCACAAATGAAGCATGCTGACGAATGCTTTTGCCAGCTCTGTGCTATCGGACAACTCTCGAACTTCTGCCCTCTTGCTGCGCTTGTGGCGAGTGATTTGTCGTGCGCCTGATATAACAACTCCTGGTGAAGTGTCCGAAACTCAGCTACACTTTAATGGCTTATTATGGCATTATGACTTAAGCATGTTTAAGTAATACATAGTAAAGTGAGTGAGTGAGTGAGTGAGTGGGTGGGTGGGTTGGGTGAGTGAGTGAGAGAGAGAGAGAGAGCGAGGGAGGGA